ACCGTGACACTTATCTATATGTATGTAGAGGTACATACGTACATATACATTTATGTACAGAAGTATATCTCTGTACCTACTGGGTGGACGTACAGGGTTTGTTAATTTTTCTACGAGTACCCACTCGTTGAAAAACACCTAGGAGTCGCCAAGCTTTTTATGGGGTCGCGAGAGGTTGAAATAATAATAGTAATAATTAGAAAATAACAACAACAAAGTTCCAAGATCTATCAAGAAATGTTAACAAAGCCTTTATTAAGTAATTAAACCCTCGAAAACAAACAAAACAATGTGCGGTAAAACGGGGTGAATAGACACGGGAATGGGGTGAATAGATACTATGAAAAATTTCCTAGTTCACCCCTCTTTCGTCTCTATTCACCCTTCGAATTCTATTCGATCAGTTTTACCCGGTAAAATCCTGATACGGGATACCTCGTCACTAACTCTTAATGCGAAACGTAATCCTCTTTTTCACTACACATAATATAATCAATGTCTCACAGCTCACACCAGAATCAATTAATTTTCTTAGGGTCGAAGGTCTGACGGCCCCGAAAGTGTTCGTGTGGCGACCACGGAGCTTTATCTTTACTTACTTTTGGACCATTGATGAAATTGTCAACTCGCATAAATACGACGTGGCACACAGAATTAAAGACAACAGGGCCTCAATTGTTAAGTGGGAAGAGCTACCTAAGCCAAATGCTAGATCACAATAGGGATGGTGAGACCTGATGAGACCTATGTGTTGCAGAGAATGGATGGTAAGATACCATGGTAGTTATTCCTATCGACTGGTTCTTCTTTAACATGGTTATTTAGGCGAATTTCTGCATCGAATATGTCACGAGCCATTGTTTGGACTGTCTGATGTACTGTCTGGACTGATAAGGGAACACGATACTTCATAAGCTGGCGTAGTGCCCAGCGTAGAGAGAATATAGAATTGATCTCCTGCTAGTTTTTTTATAAAGGTTGAGTGTCAATTATGCTTAACGAACTTAATGTTATCCAAATAATATAAGATTTATATTATATTCTTATAGTGAAGTATAGAGACAAGAATTTGATTTATCTAGATGTATTATGATAGAGTGTTAATTGGGATGGTGACAGGGTATAAAAATTAAAATTATAATTAGTCCGTAAGTAAGGTAATGAAAAAATATTAGACACGTATTTTTATTTTGTGGTGTAATAAAACAATACTTAGATAAAACGAATTAAAGTTTAGGAGTGGGGGCTAAAACGTCATTTCTACGTATAAAATGTACATAGAACTGACGTCACGCGACAAATTAATATATGTAGGTATTGTTGAAAGTATGGGTTTCTGAAAGAAAATAAAAAATACGTGTCTAATGATTTAAAATAATCTATCAGACGGACATTAAAATAAAAATTAGGCATCTACCCTATTGTCATCTAAGTTGGAATCCCTTTCTGGGCAAAAAAGTCAGATAGGCACATGACTTCTACTCTTTTTGTTTATTTCATCTACTAAGAGAAATGATTACGTTGTAGCTTTTTAATTACTGTTTGTAAATAGGTCACAAAATATTTCATAACACGATAACATGGTTTTGAGTCATAAATCTCGCAGAACTCTAATTCTAATAACGCTTAGACTGATTAGTTATCGAAATAAGTAGTAGAAGGATTTGAAGCGTTATCAGGGATCATCCAGTCAGTCCGTCAAGTGGTCGTATTTGAAATGGTTTAGATAAACTACAATATAAGTATCTACTTAGATCCTCGAAGAAATGGATCATTCAATGCTGATATCGGAATATCGGAAACACATACTTGTGCTCGTTCTTGAGTTTTCATTCAATAGTTTGTGCTACAGTGTGTATTGAAGTGTTTGTGTGTGAGTACTATATGCCTATTTTACTAATATTACTAGTGAAAATATTATTTAGAATTTCTTTTTCAATTTGTATGAAAGGGCATCCCATGCTGGCAAAATTGCATCGAAGTTAACCCTGTGTTTCATGTATTACGATCAAAATCAATATTTTTTTAAAAACAGAATTCCTAATAAAATAGTCAACTGTTACTTTTTTTATTAGCAATGTCATTTATATTTTCTATCTCAACATAATAATACCGCTGTTCTTTTAGTTTTAATTGACTGTGATAAAACTAATTTTAAGTAAATATACAGTAAATACTTAAAATGCCTCTATGATATGTTGGAGGTAGTACTGTAGGAGATGTAATCTCTAGTTATATACAAATATCTTTTAAAATCCGTGTAAATATTTGTAAAGAGGTTTTGTGGGTAGGTACCTACTTTAAATATATTACAATTCTAACGGTCATAGATATAATAAAGAAGTTTTTTTTTTATTTCTGTGTGTCTGTGTTACGGTTGCCTTTTTACCAGAACCAATGTGGATTATATAGAAGACTATGTAAATTTCTAGATGGTTCTCTACTTTTAAAGTAATATTAATTTACCGTGACTTCTTCGGTTTTAGTTTGACAATTGTGCCATATGGTTTTTTAAAATGACAATGGTTTTATGGGGCTAAATTATAACATACTTACCTGTGTAATTTAAAAATAAATAATAATAAATAAATGGTTTAACGACCATTTTAGCAATATTTTGCAACGCTAATCGAGATTATTTCAGATAGTTATATATTTTTTTATAGATTTATTTACATATTTATTTATTTCCTTTTTTATATTTCACATATACATATAAAAGTACTAATAAAGCAACCCTTTGAACCTGTAAGTATCATAGTCCGGAAAATATGTTATTATTTTGTACTCTTTGGCGGAAATTCTTTCGGAAATCCTGTACTTATGTTTAACTTCATGTTTTAAGAATTTGTCATAAAATTAATACAATTCACTTAACATATACGAAAAAATGATAGTTTAAAATAAAAGTACCTACAGAATAAGAGCATGCTAATGCTTTGAATTTTTAGTTCAAGCTATTCTGATTGCAACTGCAAGTAACACCTTATCATTAATATGGTTGTACGTAACATGTCGACACGCGTTACTTTAGTGTCAAGCTACAAGCAGGACTGGTACACTCAGAATTGAGATGTAAATTAGCTAGATCAATATAATATGTTAATTTCTAACATAAACATACTTAGTTAGTACTTGTGACATATTGAAATGTAATTTATACTGCTTTAGCACCTATACATATGGTATAAAGTTGTTGTTGATCCCATGCCATTTGGGATTGGGTTAATAGATTACAAATAACTTGGAAAAAGACTTGCAGTTGATAGGTTTCGAACCCACTTTCATGCATGAGATGCGTGTCGTAAACCTCTGGTCCACCACGATAGAAATCCAATAAAGGATATTAATTATAACGAATACGGAAGAAGGAAAAATATACATATATAATACGTAGCCCGCGTGGACAGTAATACTTAAACTTTATGTCTATTCTGTAGTCGCGGAGAACCTAACGGGTAACCGGGGCTCCGGCTCGACGTGCAGGAGAAGGAACGGGGTGGTTTTTAGTCAATAAGAGTCTGACACTCCCTTCCGCCTCACCCAGGAGGGAGCAGTCATTCGATGATTTCCCCCCTTAAAAAAAGTCTATTCTGTAAAGTTATATAAAAGTAATTACAAGTACTCAAGTACCTAGTTGTCGTTAATGATTATAATTATTTTCATTTTACGATGCGCCTGTTTACACGCGACTGTACTCGTTTGCCTTAACCGCCTTACCTTCTACACGCATTAAGATTATTTTTATTTAAAAAACAAATTACGCTTTTTAGGTAGGTAGTCGTTCAATTAAAGAAAATCAATGAAAAGGGACATTATTGTTCAGGGGTATTATTCATTATTATTTTGGTAAATATTGATTGTATCTTCTTGTAAATTATAAGACTTCTTTGATTGTGTCCGGGTTTTCGTACAAAAAACTCCAAAAAGATTAGTGACGTCAGTCTCATGATTGTTTTCTACTTCGAAGTCAATGACCTCGAGTTGTCAAAGATTGTCTCCGTAAATTTTAATTTTTCACTCAACTATAATTGGAATATATGGCTATGTCTATAATTAACATCTGACAGTCAAAGATAATACAATATTTAAAAATAATACATCAAATTGTGTTTGACGTGTAAAAGATTTATTTCAATGGAAAAGAATAAGGCTATACCGAATTGTCTGTTATATACTTATTTACAGATGACAATGCTTTCGTGAATTTTTTTTAAAACGCGTATTTTTAGTTGCCTTGTTTTATGAACGTGACGTTCAAGGTTGGTTTAAAAATAATTTTACATAAACGTAACGGAACGTAAACTATTTGCGAACAATAGATAATAGCTGTCATTAGTATTTAGGCGAATGTCTGGACCTCATGATATACATAATTATGAATTTATTTTTAACTCTCATTGTAAAAATGGTAATCCACAATACAACTTCAAACAATCATCATTAACAGCCTATATATGCCCACTGCTGAGCAAAGCCTCTTCTCACACGGAGAAGGTTTGAGCATTAATCACTACGCTTGCTCAATGCGGATTGGCGATTTCAAACTTATACCTCTATGTAATTAGAAATTATAAGTCCAGGTTTCCTCATGATGTTTTCCTTCACCGTTTGTCAGTGGTGTCTAAATAATCTTAGAAAGTACATAATTATAACTCGGAAAAAGTCACATTGGTACAAGTACCAATGTGACTTTTTCGTGGTTGTGGGTTCGTAACCTCATGGCACAACCTCACGCATGTGAAGCGGGCATTTTAACGTCCAGGCCACCACAACATGCCAATTCAAGCAATAAGATTGATATAAAAATGTCGATATTGCAAAACGCAAACTTAACCGGAACTGGAGTTCAAACTTTAGACCTTGCAATCGGCAGTCACTCGGATAATAAAAACAGTCAAAAAATGCAATTCTGTTCATGTGACCATGACCTACATTAATATCATAGTATTACTTTTTACGAATGACATGTCTAACGATACAATTCTTGTTTTAGGAAAATGGAGAATAATAATACGAAGAAAGTTGACATCAGCCACATCAGTGGCAATGCCGTGTCTTACCACCATGACGACAAGTAAGTTGACTATAATATCATCTATTCATCTGTGCACGCGCACTGCAGTGGCGTAAACGGTACACGGTTTAGGTAATAACGTGGTTAAACGCTTGCAATTGAAGCCTTTATTTACTCTTTATAAGGAAAAACGTCCCGATTATGGAACACCGAAACGTATTCCCAAGGATTGCGCCCCATTGTAACCTGTTCTATGCTGCCTCGTATTCACTTCTGCTTGTCTTATCTACTGCCTATAAAATTCCTAGTTAAAACGTCTTGATTTCATATTACATATAGATTTAAGTATAAACAGATCAGTAGTAGTTTAGCGGCCAAATCCCGTACATAATATAATCTCATTATGTACTAACTTGCTTTAGTCGACCTTCTACTTTCATTTATTTGATGCAGTAAGGCATGTATCTTTAAACGGGCCTGTGAGAACCGTCCAGTCTTCGCACCGCCCTGTCTCGTCGCACCAAGGTCTTGATCCAATTCTGTATATCATCGTTTGAAGGAGCTAAGGATTATTATATCATTGACACACTGAGACGAAGGTCAGGTAGATGCAGCATACAATTGTGACTGCAGTAGCCCCCTGTCTATTTATATTGAATAAACGGGTGCATTGTTGTCCACGCAACTCCGATGTTGACCGTGTCAGGTCAATACAATGTAGCTGGAGTAGTTACATTGCGTGTTAAATATATCTTATTGCTGTTAACAATTTAATAGGAGCTCTTGATGCACGCTCGGTCACTCGTCTAGCAAATTGGAGTGACGCGATGTTATCTGAAGGACTTAGAAATATTGTAGAAGAGAAGAATACAAATAGTCGTTTATCCAATTTAGCCAGAGATTTTGCAGTCGACTTTGTGTCTTATGTTTCGATCAGTTTGTTGTATGGTTGGGTTTTAGTTGTTTTACATATTTTTACCTACTCTTTAAATAAGCACGAGGTCAATATCCTCGAGATGGGTGTGTTATTATTGGGTTAAGAGATTACTTTTATATATAAAAAATGGTTTCCAATTTGTGGCCAAGAGGGTATTTCCTTTAATAATAAGACTAATAAGAACATATGGCTTAACTTAGAAACTAGTAGTGCTTGGAGCTAAACATACGTAGGCTGATTGGCGGTGACGTTGGATTAGAAGGGTCGCAGGTAAGAATTCGGCCTTCGATATATTCGAGGTTAATGAACCTTACTTAGACCTAGAATCTAGCATTTACACATGCAATATTTTTAATAAATGCGTTTTCGAAATATTGTCTGCGACGAGATAGTGTTACAGAGCGATGTGAATTTGCTATTACAATTTCAAAATCAAGAGTTAATTTTGAAATCCATAATGGTTGTGTGTTTAGATGAGACTAAATTTGGGATTTCTTTTAAGTATCTTAAAAGTATTGAGTGTACCTTATTGAGTTGAGCAGGTTTAAAATAAATAAGGAAAACTGTAAATAAATTAATAAGTAAATTAGGAAAAAATAAGACCTTAATAAATAACAAACCAGCCCATTGCAGGTCATTGCTAAAATTAAAATTTTGTTTCCGACTTGCAATAATATCTTGTACCTATCGTACTAACCTTCGTATATTTATTACAAGTATCGGCAAAGTCCGGGTACATTTTCTTGATTAACTGACTATTGCCCGTGAATGCGCACGCGCTTAAAACACTTCTGTTTTCCGTTTCTGTAGTAATTTTGGAAAATCCTCTCTTTCGTTAAGTCTAGTCCGTTAATTGTATTCATTCTCGTCTTTCAGTTTATTAAGAAATGGTAGTTTTGGCTAATTATATCAGTAACTGACTTATATCACGAGGAATGTGGAGGACGTCCACCCACAAAGTGTACAGATGACCTGATTAAGGTCGCAGACAGCTGCTGTATGGCGGTCGCTTCCAACCGGCCTGTCTGGAAGTCATTGGGGAAGCCCTATGTCCAGCAGTGAATGTCTTGTGGCTGAAATGATTATGATGAGGAGTAGGAGTCATTGATAGTGGCCAGCAAGTCAATCTACTCGGATATGTCAATTCTTTTCATTGGATTATAGACTTTATGTAAAAAACCGAGAATTCTAAATACAAAGTCTGTACCGTGGTCCTAGGCGCTGTTGTTTACGTTAAATTGTTAGTTAGGTAAAAATTTATCAGGTACCAATATTATTGAACAGATTAGCAAGTCTATTAAGTAATTAACCAAATATCTAAACCAGAGTAATAGGCTGGTAATATTTTGTAATTAAGGACGATTGATTAATCTCCAATTAATTACTTTTAAACCACAATGTCTATAAACAATAAGATTCTTAAATTCGTCGATTTCTCGAACTTTGTGGAGATTTCACTGATTTAAAATGATATTAAGAAAAATAATATCGTTAAGGCGTTATCATGTAGTTTACAGTGCAGTAAACTACTATGTATCTTCATTCATAGGTCAATTATACCTATATTTATTTGTTTGTTTATGTCTCAGTCCCACATTGGTCATCTGGTTAAGAGAGCACTGAGATTTGCGTTGCCAAATCATTCCTTGTCTGGGGTTCGAGTAATAAGCCGCACAATAACATTTTTTGGCCAAAATATACGAAAAAGGATTTAAAAAAAATCGTTGCCCCACCCTAGTATTTTCTCCTGTGTCATGGGTGCACCCGGAACCCGCAACAACAATCTGTGGATCACACAAACAGTTGTTCCGTGCGGGTATCGAATGGGCAGCACGTTGTGCGGCAGCAAGTTGCCCAGCCACCGTGCCAACATCAGGATCTGTAACCATGGTGATAATAAATCTGTTCTGACTGTATTGTAACTGCACTGAATGCAGCTAGGGTATGGCGTCTTGCCATGCTCGCCCCTATTGCATGGCACTAATAACGTAAGTGGCGAAAAGTGGGTCAACGGTAACTTTAATGTGAGCTCTGCAGGATTTCTAGGAATAGGGGGCGTCTTGTTTTTTAGACCTAGAGGATCGTGCACAGACACTGATGTGAACTGTTGACTGTCCACTACTGAACTACATGCCTCCTATACCTAAGATCAAAGATGGACTCTCCATGTTTATGCCTTGGTAGGCTGGTCGGAGAATACATTTTAAAAGGCGTAGATTTATCATAAACCTCTTGAAAACTTGTTAGAAATGACTGCCTCATTGGCCGAGAGGTCGCAAGTGCGACTGCCGACTGCAATGGGTCTCGGGTTCGATTCTCGGGTCGGGCAAAGGTATTGGGTGTTTTTAAAAATATCTGTCTGGAATTGTGCCCGGTATATAGCAATAGGCTCACTCCCTATTACATGGGACTCATACATAACATAAATAGTGAAAAGTGGGTGTTATGTTGTACAGTGCTATGTTAATACCACTGTACAATATGCCGTAATGTGCACCTCTGCCGACCCCTTCGGGGAAAAAAGGCGTGATGTTATGTTATGTTTATCAAGCGTTGCTGTCCAGTCTCTTATCATGTGTAGATCTTCAATCAGCTCTTAAGATGCCCGGGGGTAGAGCAGGGTGGGGAAAATATACTCTACTCCACTGTTATTACAGCTTTAAATTTTACGGATACATAATAATTGTAATATGTGCTTGTTATTATAGCATTATATTTGACTAATTAATATTACATAAGACGTCATTATACAATGAAATGATTAATTAATGATTACTCTTATTGTACAGTATTCCCACGGTACGTATATATATTTACTTAGCTCATTGTTGTAACGGTGATCATTGCTGTGTATGCGACAATGACTACGAGATGAGGTCATGATCGTGCACACAAAATGATGATAGCTATTAAATGCTATACAAACCTATATTTCATAAACGTGAATTGTAACTGTAACACAAACGGTAGAAACATTACGCCTTAGTATTTTATTTACCCACTAGCTTTTACCCGCGGCTTCGCTCGCGTCATAAAAGGATAAAAAGCCAATGTGACATATACCAATACACACAGCGCCATCTATACCAAAACTTTTGTTTTCCCTTGGGAATATCAAATTTTTCAGGGATAAAAAGTACCCTATTATTTAATCCGGACTTGTAACTTTACGTCTGCAAAATTTCAAAGCAATCGGTTGAGTAGTTATGGCGTGAAGGTGGAACAAACAAACAAACAAACTCACTTTCAGATTTATAATATTAGTAAGGATTTAGGAATAATAGGGGTATTTTTCAAATGCTTGCTCTCCATGGTCGAAGGGTTATTCAATTTTTATAATTATTTGCCTTTTGTTATATCTAGGTTCTGTTGATAATGATAATGCTCTGCCCTGTTTAGCGATAGGTTTCCGTACTCATACTGTACATTTTTGGATGTGATACATGACGATGAGATGTGTAACCGATTCATTAGACTTTTGTAAAGTTTGATTAATTCATTATCAATAACGTCAATCGTCAATAACGGGCAGATGATGATAGTAACTGCCATAAATTACCACTCTCTAGCTTTAATAATATAATTTCTGAAATATAATATTAATTAAATAGCAGGCAGTGTAAACATGCCTACAACATGTGCTTGGCTCAAGGTCGCTAAGTTTCTACGAGCTATGAGCACGTGCTGCACTGACGAAACAATATAATAATATAATATATTTACGAAACAAGGGGTTTTCCAAAAACATTGCAAGATTTTAGAATCAGCAATGATACGACGTTGATTTGTAATGAGTTAATTCCAAGGCTAGGTTAGTTTTATGTAAGGTTTGTTGCAGCTAGCTCCGGTATCGCGTTACGAAAACTATTCGATTGGTTTGATTAGATCATTCATTTCGAAGACTAGCGCCGCTTGATGTTAAAGGTACACAGGCTGACAGGCAGTACCTGAAACTAAATCAATACTTAAAAGCAGATATACCACTGACGATTTACCCATGTTTTCGACACTTCTGAATTTCTGAATCCGGTATTAGGAAAGTGGATTAATATAATCGCAATAATTAATAAAAATATCTTGATACATTGTGTCTGATAGTCGCACAAGTAAGAGTTATACCCAG